TTTATTCAAACAATTTTCCATGAAGCCAAAGTTAAAATTATTAAAAATTATAAAAATGCATAATTAATTTACATACATTAACAGCAGCCATATAGTTGCTCCCATCAAAGCATATACCTACATATTGGTATAATAGTATAATATATATTTACATGTATATACTTTATTAATATATATATATATATACATATAATTGTGTACATATGTATAGACATTTGTTTATATATGAAATTGGAATTTATTACATTTAAGTTACTTTTTGCGATATTGTTTAAAAGTTTTACTTCAATTAGCGGTTAAAGCAGTGGCGGTTGTCATGGACGCCATTATTCTGTCATGCCTTGTCACAAGGTGTGAATAATTATGAGCTCATTAATTCAAAGTCTACGCATTGTTGTTGCGGTCGTTAATGTTCTGTTTGTTTTTGTTGTTGTAGCTTTTGTTTTAATTAAACTGTAGCTTTTGGACAATTTTTTGATTGATGCCATTTTGATTTAACCCTTGGGCGCACACACAACTTGGCTGCGACACAAAATGTTCCAAATAAAACAAACAGCAATTATTTTGCCATAAGTCCAACTTATGCGGTTTCATTTCTGGACTTAAACACCAATTAAAACTTTTACTTTGAGTAATTAACTTTTTCTAATTTGATCATATCGAGGTGATGTGGTAAACTTTAACCAAAATTAACTCAATATGGGATAGGTATGGTATTAAAAAACTTAATACAATATGAACTTGATATATATTAATAAAATATAAATCAATTATTAAGGAAAAATTTAGATTAAATTTTACAACTATTAATTAACATTCTAATTTCTATTCTCACATAATTGCCCAATTAATGAATCCTTCGTACCCTGAGGTGTACTTGCTGATGTAAACAGTTTCATAAGATTACCTTTCGATTTTAGTATGTTTTTTGATTCATTCATTAAAAAAAAATTTTAAGATTACTATCTTAATTAATTAAAAAAAATTTTAAGATTACTATCTTAATTAATTAATTTAATTAACTTACGCTAATCTATTTACTATTTGATTCGTTTTAGTGGAAATTGAGCTTTCTGTTCTGTTTAAATACCACATTGGTGCCAATTTGTTACTACACACCCAGTCCTAAAATTCTAAGTTTTGAAACCAACCTTGGTGGTTAAAAATGGAGATTAGTTAAAAAAAATCTAAGTTAAGTACATCCACCAAACTGGTATTTTTGTTAATTTTTTAAAATAATTTATATCCAATAAAAGTACAAATATCAAGAGGTGACATTTTTGGCTGATTTTGTCCAAATATCAAAATTTTATATATTTATATGGAGCTTAATATCTTGGGATAATGTAAATAAATTGGAGAATTAAAAAAAATTAAATGTTTTATTTTTTTTCCTGCAGGTCATTTATTTTTGGTAGAGAAATGCCTCAAATGGGTGTCCATTAGCCAGCTGCAAGTTTGATACTTCGGTCTTAATTCTGCCCAGTAAAATTTTAGCTCACTGTAAATCATAGCTTGGGTATGTGAGTTTGGACTTTTCGCAGACCATCGAAATTCTTAATTTTAATGTTCTGTTACTTTACTCGTAGTAGCCGAGGTCAGTACCTACAAATGTTATAAATTAAGTTAATCGAATGAATTTCTGCGTACGATAAACCGCACTGCGTACGATAAACCGTCAGCCATTGACTACTATATTCCATATAATTGGGCTACAGTCATCAGCTACTGAAGCCAACGGCTGTAGTTTAATCGAGTGTTGGACATTATACATTGTGACCGAAAAGCTTCCGGAAATTTTAAATAAAACGCAAAATTCTTAATCTTCATCAATATTTATTTTATCTCCTTCAAAATATTGCTCCATTAGAAGCGATACACAATGCCAACGTTTCTTCCAATCATCAAAACATTTTTATAGGCGCTTTCCGGTATGGCTTTGAGTTCCCTCTGCGAATTCTGTTTTACGTCTTCTATGGATTCAAAACGCGTTCCTCTGAGTGGTAATTTGAGGTTGGGAAACAGGAAAAAGTCACACGGTGCAAGATCAGGTGAATACGGTGGCTGTTCGATGGTATTTATTGAATGTTTGGCCTTAAAATCGTTGATAATGTTGAACAAATTGAGGTGAATCGGAACAAGCCGGGCGTTGACACGTCGCATACACAAATTGTCCACCAAAATCAAACGAGCCATCTCACGACCGATGCCTAGCTCTCGTGCTATCTCTCTAACACTCACATGAGGATTTTTGAACACGATTTCCTTTGCCTTTTCAATGTTTTCGTCGGTGGTAGAGGTCGAAGGTCGTCCAGAACGCGGCATGTCTTCGACGGTCGTACGACAGTCCTGAAAGGCTTTGTACCACTCATAAACTTGAGTTTTCGATAAAACTGATTCCCCATAAGCCTTTTGTAGCATTCGCAACGATTCTGCACACGAAATTTCGTTCGAAAAACAAAATTTGATGCAAACTCTTTGTTCAATATTTTTTTCCATTGTTTTTTTCGCAACGCACTACTGAGGTGAACTGGTTTCAACAGCTGCCGTAAACGAACTGTCCGACAGATCCGCGCTCATTTTTGGCATAGTAATTGTCCTTAATTGCTGCCAAACTACATAAACTTAAAATATCGAAAAATATACAGCGCGCGAATTTTAAATGAGAACCTCCGAAAACCTTTCGGTCACAATGTACATAATATTCGATTTAAGTAACTAGTGCCCTCTCTACACTTATACTGTAGCTTTTGTTTTCATACTTCACCATTCTTTTATTTACGTTCCCATTTTGGTGAAATTATTTTATTTGTGGTTATATTGTTATAAGCATTAAATAATACGTGAAATAATATTTTGTTAGGATTTATGCGAATGTTTTACCGGTTACTGTATTTGATAATCGAGTATATTTGAGCCTACAGTCCTGATGAAACATACATTGTTTTGGTTTCTGTGGTTTGTAGTCGAAGTGTTTAAGTATACGACTTTTGATGCTTAAAAGCCCTTTGAAATGCGAGCTTTAGTTTGTCTGTCAATAATTATTAAATACTAAAAGATGTATTCTGAAATTGAGATAAGTCCCTTTACCAGACCTACTTGTCTATACAATTAACATAGTACTTGATTCTACTAATCGCAAATAAAATAATTTAACATCTTTATAACATACTCTTAGTTATCACACACCATATATGAAGAATATATCAGTGAATTTCATATAAAACAGATTTTGAATATTTTTAATTTTATTTAAGTCCTAAATGAATACATTTATGTTGATTATTTTGCAATAGTAAAACGTATTAGGGTTTTACCATATACCGGTTGTTATTCAAGCCCCTCATTATAATTCACATCCAGTTGTTACATATTCTCGCAAATCTTCCCGGAAATCTTCCCGCATCTTATGTCGGTTATTCGTGGCCTTCTTTATAACATTCATACATTTTTCACATCTCTAAGTCGTCTCAGAACAGTTCGTACCTATCTGTTGTGCTTTTAAGTTATACATTTACAAAAAATAATAAAAGATTCCTTTTTTCGTTGAAAATACTAATCTAATGATGAAATTCTATTACGTTCAAAATCTAACAATTTTTTATTTCAGATTATTTATACACTTCTAAGATTATGTACTTTTCTAACATCAATATAAACATATAAATATATATTTTTAAATGTTTATAAATATGTATATGAAAACAATAAATTATAGTCGGTCAAAAAATACGAATAAAATTTATAAAAATTTTTAGCAGGGTAAGAGTTCAATGCATGGTACTTGCAGTTTGAAAAAATTATTTACGAATAATTAAATACAAGAATTATTTCCAAGACCACTGATGACGGTAATTTGGCAATACTCGAAACAGCTGTATGGTTAACCAAAAATTCAATCAATTAAAATAATACAGAAAATAATTTCTGTTGTTGTAGTTCACTACTGTTCAAAACCTCTCAATTTTTAAGATTTGAAAATTTTTTGACTGTTATCACTTTTTCTACTCTAGATGAATTTTATGTCATAGTATTTATAACTATAATTATTTATTGGCCATAATTAAATTATGAACTAAAGTTGGAATAGATATCATGGATCTATGAATTTAATTCTACTTAAAGTATTACTCACAACACTTCGTCTACGAAGCGAATTCTACTCAATGCAGATATATATATAAACTTTGATGTATTTGAGGACAGGAACGGGTTAAATATTTATGTATGAGTAAGCAGAATATATTTAAGTAATTATTAGTTTTAATTTATAATGTCAGCAATTTTAATTTTATTGCTTTATTCAACATTTTTGTTTTAAATTTTTATGTTGCAACAAACCACCAAAGTTGATTGTTAAGTGATTTTTGCAATGTGTTTTTATGAATAAATGTTAGATATTAAATATTACAGCAATGTTAAGACATTTAAATACCAAAAGTGTAAATATTTAATATCTATAATTTTTCGAAAATTTATTTAGAAACAATTTTGAATTATAAATGTATCAAAATCAGTAACACCAATGGATGAAGCTGAAGAAGCCTAAGCAATCTTAACCCCGAGCGTTTGCTATCTTTTAGAAAATTCTGACAAATATTGCTCTCAAGTAAGCAAACAAACTGCATACTTAATTATAAACCTAAATAAATATATTTTAATATATTTGAGTTGAAATTAAGAGTGTATCTGAATAAATTTGAAATAACATGAGGTAGTATGCCTTTTTATTTAATTGTAGAAAATGAAATATGTGAAGTGATGATATACGAGTATAAATAATGAAAAGACTATTTGTTATATTCAAATAAAAATAATTTATTTTATTTAAATTTATCATTTATCAATAAATTCTATTTTGTTTCGATACATTTAATATGCATAAAGCATTCAAAACTATAACTTTATCAAATAGAAACAAATTTTTTAATCAAACTACCAATGCCTGGAAATAAGCTATACAATTATTCTTTTTCATTTTTAACTTTTATTCTTTTTTTTTCTTAAGCTTTTAATTTCCTTTTTATTTTTTGTATTTTTTTTTTTACTTTTTATACCCTTTTACATAAGCGTAATCTGCATTTGAGCATCTTCAGTATATTTTGCGAAATTCTAAAATATATTTAAAGATATTTTATCACTCATCAATAATGCGGGAATGTATTTCAATTCACATTGGACAAGCTGGCGTTCAAATGGGCAATGCCTGCTGGGAGTTGTACTGTTTGGAACATGGAATACAACCTGATGGCCAGATGCCAACTGATAATTGCGATGAAGCATATACTACTTTCTTTTCCACAAATAACAACGGTAAGCATGTGCCACGATCTATTCTTGTTGATTTAGAACCGACAGTAGTGGATGAAGTCCGTACAGGTACATATCGGAGCTTATTTCATCCTGATGCTTTGATAACTGGTAAAGAAGATGCAGCTAATAATTACGCTTTTGGTCATTATACAGTTGGTAAGGCAATTGTAGATATCGTACTCGATCGCATACGAAAACTAGCTGACCTATGTGAAAACATACAAGGATTTTTATTATTCCATGCTACAGGTGGCGGCACAGGCTCTGGTTTCACTGCTCTACTTATGGAACGCTTATCTGTAGATTATGGTAAAAAAGCAAAATTTGAATTCGGTATTTATCCCGCACCACAGGTATCAACAGCTGTTGTAGAACCTTACAACGCTGTACTAGCTACACATATCACTTTAGAACATTCAGATTGCTCTTTTATGGTTGATAATGAGGCTATCTATGATATATGCAGACGTAACTTGGATATTGAACGACCAACCTATACTAATTTAAATCGTTTGATAGCACAAATTGTATCTTCAATAACAGCTTCCTTGCGCTTTGAGGGTGCTCTAAACATCGATTTATCTGAATTTCAAACAAATTTAGTGCCATATCCTCGTATACATTTTCCATTGGCCACTTATGCTCCACTTATCTCACCTGAAAAAGCCTATCATGAGCAATTGTCAGTTGCAGAAATCACTAACGCTTGCTTTGAACCAGCAAATCAAATGGTTAAATGTGATCCACGTAATGGAAAATATATTGCTTGCTGTATGCTTTATAGAGGTGATGTTGCTCCAAAAGATGTCAATTCAGCTGTTGGTGCTATTAAAACAAAACGTGCTGTTAAATTTGTAGATTGGTGTCCAACTGGTTTCAAAGTCGGTGTTAGCTATCAGCCACCAACACATGTGCCTGGCGGAGATTTACCTAAAGTGCAACGTGCAGTGTGTATGACATCCAATTCAACGGCAATAGCCGAAGCTTGGGCGCGTTTGGATCGAAAATTTGATCTATTGTATTCGAAACGAGCTTTTGTACATTGGTATGTAGGTCAGGGTATGGACGAAAACGAATTCTCAGAAGCTCGAGAAGATTTGGCTGCTTTGGAGAAAGATTACGAAGAAGTGGGTATGGACTCCGAAGGAATGGAAGTTGAAACTATGGAGGAAGATTAAAAAAATTGGAAACAGTTTAAAATTGGTGACAAACACGCTAAATGCAATAAAAATTTAGCAATAAAACATAAATTCATCAATGAAATTTATTTTGTTTTATTTCATTTACATTGATAGAAGTAAGTTGTTCACCTAATTTAGGTACAACGATTAACGAAAAGCAGTAAAATAATATTACTAAAAAATTCGAATTTCTCTAGAAAAGATTTAAAGCCTTTAATTATATATAAAAAATGCATTTAAGAATGATTATTGTGTAGCATCAGCTATGCATAAATATCAATATCTTTTAATTATCGGAAGGAAATTGATAGAATCTTAAAATCAATGAACTAGAATGAATTAGAAGAGATATTATATATATACTATACTATATACTACTACTATATAATACTATATATATACTATACTACTACTTAAGCTATAAAAGCAATCCCTTCCTTCGAAAATGTTGTGAAAAGCAGGGAAGCCATCAAAAAATTAGCTACGAACAGGTTGTTGCATATTTTTTGGACACCAGACCTCAAAGAAAACAAAGTAGTAAATGCATAACATTAAAAAAGATATGAGAAAGGTGCTACTGAATAGGTAGAGTAGTTAGACTAATTGTGAAACTACAAAAGTCATTACCAAATCAGACAAAGGAAGGAATATTTTTTTATCGACACGCAGTGACTTTAATACAATGTTCCACAACCTTTATTTTAATACGTTTTACTTAAGAGTTTTGGAAATTACAATATTCCCGCTACATAACATATGTATACAAGGAGCATTCGAAAAAAACAAGAAGTTTTGTCGAATAATTATCCCTTTCCAAATGACAAGACTATATTCTTCAGTACTCCCAAAAACAATCTATTTTCCTTATGATATTAGTTCGTGATGTTCATAAGCAGCAAGAAAATTCAGTCATGATTGTTCCAAAGTCAACAAATCTATTCAAGTATAATTTGAAATTAGTCCACTTCAAAAACTAAATCCCCTCTGCGAGAGTACGCCCCATGTAGAGAAATACTTCTTCAAAACACTTCTTTGTTCTGCATTATCACATGCCGAAAATAATTGGAATTCTCACAATTTGGGAAATTTTAAAACGTCTTAAGAATAGAACTTTATGAGTTTCAATAGGTCAATTTGTAGTCTAACCTACAACTAAAAACTAAAGACTTGTTGTCCAAAGGATATATACTTAATAACAGAACTAGAATTATTATTATAAAATTGTTGTAAAAAAATGTATTACAGATATAATTAAAATGCAATGTTTCTATTAGCTCTAGTATTAGCTCTATTTTGAACTATAGAAGTTTAATATATATGGTTGTCCCAAATGTATCTATTGAATCACAGACATTATTATGTCATTATAATATATTAGGTCAATTTCACGAATAACGGTTTCTTGGCATTTTAGCGTCCTTAGTTTGCGAATATAAACTTCGGACTTTAAGTAACGCAAGAGGAAAAAATCCAGTAGTGTACAACCGAAGACATGCTAAAAACGCCATTTTTTGATATCAAACAACTGGAAAACAATGACTGTAAAAATTGATTGTGGCAGAAGTTTTATGAATTAGTGTTCAATCTTGTTGAAATCAAAAATTCTGCACTCCATATTCATAAACAATCAGAAATTGATTTTCATAACCCAATAATGCATCTGATGGACGGTTGTTGCCTTGCCATTGACATCTGCGAAAAAGTATGATCTGATGATCATATCAGCATAAAACCTCCTCCACACTTTTTGGCAGTAACAAAGTGCTTTGTTAATAATATAAATATTTTCCATTTTTTGTTTACATTTTCACATTTTCATTGAACATAAAAAGTATCTGATCACTCATAATGATGAAATGAAGGAATATAATAAGCGACGAGGCTTATTGAATTTTATACGAGAATAGCTTCAAATCATAATAGATCATGAGCCGCAAAACAGGTGTAACCAATATGACAAATATTTCTTACAATTACGTTCAAGTAACCATCTTAAGAAACTTCTACTTTCATCTCATTTTATTATTTCATCTCATAAAGCAAAACCATTAAAGCACCTTAGCAAATGGTCTTGACACATCCTCTTTAATTCATAGCACAGAAAATGTTACCGGAACCTTTTTTGATTATACTAAACAGACCCATATATTTAGAATGTATGAGTAGCCATTTTCGACAATTCGAAAGCTATTTGTAGAATATTAATGTCATCCATTAACCAAGTTTATCATCTCTTACCAGTATCAAATATTTTTTGATATTGTCGTGAGTAATATTAAATTGAATATAAAATATTGAAATTTATAAATATTTATTGAAAAATTCATTGAAATAATTATTTTGTATTCTTTGTAAGAATTTGAAAGCCTGTCTACATAAAAAGGGATCATAAGAGTAGTGTCTTCATTTATTTAATGCGAAATATAATTTCACTTCAAGTGTAAATAATTATAGTAACCATTGTCTTTTATTAAAATTTTTTTAGCTGTCAAAAAAAATTTTTTTCCCATATTCGCTTCGTTAGTCTTTTTCGGAACTTATGGATATTATATGTATTTGTAAGGCCCGCCAACATTTTTTATTGATTCTCCTACATAAATAAAAACTATCATGAGCATGTTATCGCCATTTTACATCTATTTAAGAAAACTTAAGCTATTAAGTCTCTAATTCGTTTATAAAATTTTTGCAACACTGTTTTTGATTGCTTACCTACGTCACTTCCAGAAGCATCATATTACTTCCTAATTTTTAGGGGAGTAAAAGGTTTAACTACAGAAACATTGTAATGATTTTGTAAGAACTCATGAGATAAACTTTGTACAACAAATTTAAGTGAATTATCTTTTCCATCGACGTCTCTTTAAGTTAGAACATGCCATATGAATATCGGAAATAGGAACTTCAACTAAAAGCCAAAAATGCATATATTTGGAATTTAACATTAACTAAAAGAGATAAATTCAATGGAACTACATTTAAATCGAATTTTTTTATTAAAACAATTGATAATACACTTCCGCAAGAATTACACGTTAAAATGTAAGAGAAATATTAAATAAAGCACTTTGAAACGCTAATAAGCACTAAATTCGAAATACCATTAAACTTAAAATGTATTCTTACGGCATTAAGACCTCATATCTGTTGCCAGTATGTCAAAACTCTTCAATATTTATCGATTCAATTTTTTTCACAGTCAAATTTACTTTGCTTTTAAATATTTTTGATCTAAGATAGCTTTGATTTTTGAAAAAAAATGATACCCCAAATCTAAATTATTAGAAATTTGTTCACAGTTACAAATTTGTATAGTTTTCAACTCTTGAAAATTTTCCAAATTCATATATTTTTGGATATATTTTTCGATTATAATTTCGGAAAATTTGATTTTGCTTAAATTGTTGAAGATTTGAGGTTTTCCCCTGGAAACTAAATTGCTACTGCGAAATTCTTTAATTAGTTAAGTGCTAAAAAAAAAAATTCAATATGCGTGAATGTATATCGATTCATATTGGCCAAGCTGGAGTTCAAATGGGCAATGCCTGCTGGGAGCTTTACTGCTTGGAACATGGTATTCAACCTGATGGCCAGATGCCTTCAGATGGTGGCTGCGATGAATCTTTTACATCATTCTTTAGTGAAACCGGTTGTGGTAAGCATGTTCCGCGGGCTATTATTGTTGACTTGGAACCAACTGTTGTGGATGAAGTTCGCACAGGTACGTATCGTTGTTTATTCCATCCAGAACAATTGATAACTGGCAAAGAAGACGCTGCTAATAACTATGCACGTGGGCACTATACAGTAGGTAAAGAAATTGTTGACTTGGTGCTTGATCGCATACGTAAGTTAGCGGAACAATGCATTAGCTTACAAGGTTTTCTAATGTTTCACTCAGTTGGTGGTGGAACTGGATCCGGTTTCGCATCATTGCTAATGGAACGTTTATCTGCAGATTATGGTAAAAAAGCAAAATTAGAATTTGCTATTTATCCAGCTCCACAAATATCGACAGCTGTTGTAGAACCTTACAACGCTGTGCTGACAACTCACACTACCTTGGAGCATGCAGACTGTTCATTTATGATTGATAACGAAGCTATCTATGATATATGCAGACGAAATCTGGATATTGAACGACCAACCTATACCAACTTAAATCGTTTAATAGCACAAATTGTTTCATCAGTTACAGCTTCCTTGCGTTTTGATGGTGCTCTGAATGTTGACTTAACCGAATTCCAAACCAATTTAGTGCCATATCCTCGTATACATTTTCCATTGGCCACTTATGCACCTATTATATCTGCAGAGAAGGCCTATCATGAGCAGCTAACAGTAGCAGAAATCACAAGTGCTTGCTTTGAACCAGCTAATCAGCTGATTAAATGTGATCCACGTAATGGTAAATATATTGCTTGCTGCATGTTGTATCGTGGTGATGTTGTGCCAAAAGACATTAACTCAGCTCTGGGTACAATTAAAACAAAACGTTCTATACAATTTGTGGATTGGTGCCCAACGGGTTTCAAAGTGGGTATAAATTATCAGCCACCAACAGTTGTGCCTGGCGGCGATTTAGCCAAGGTACAGCGTGCAATTTGTATGACATCTAATACAACAGCTATTGCTGAAGCTTGGGCACGTCTGGATCGTAAGTTTGATCTGATGTTCGCAAAGCGTGCCTTCGTGCATTGGTATATTGGTCAAGGTATGGAAGAAAGTGAATTTAGTGATGCTCGTGAGGATTTGGCTGCACTTGAGAAAGACTATGAAGAAGTTGGTATGGATTCTAATGAAGGTGAGCTAGGTGACGAAGACGAGTACTAACACTGAACATGTATAGAATCGAATATTGTTGCATCGTGTTCTATTTAAGAGTCTTTGATCAAAAGTAAATTGTGTAGATACAATGTAACTTAATATATCATCGCATATGTATTTATCTTAAAAATTCGCCTATCAAGGCTTACAAAATTATAAATTATAAAAATTAACAAAAAATTGGAAAAATTAAAAATAAAAACCAAATTCATGTGAAAAAAATACAACACGGTTGCTTTATTGTGATATATATAATAGTTTATATATATATTATATTTTAGATATGAAAAAATTTTTAATAATACAAATTTCAGTGAAGGTTTTGCATAGTAATTGGATAAGGAGAAGTTTTCAGAAATGATGGGTATGTTTTCTTAGTATTTAGTCAACATAACTTACAAACCCTACTCTGCAAATGAAGATAAATAATGAGATATTTTTATTAACTTCATAAAGTGGTATTAGTAGTAATATTATAAGAAAGATTCTTATGTTACACTACTCAAATTTAGTCATTGATTAAAGACACCCCGAGGTATGTATAAGTGATTCAGTTGGGACTCGATAATCCTCAAGTAGACAATCGTCTGTTTTTCACTTCACCGTTCGTTACACATATAGTATATAATATTAGTATCATGAACTACTCAAAGAGCTGGATATCTATCCAAATCCAATCTATTCTGTTTTGAAAAAATCAGCTATTATTTAAACGGAAAATCATTGATGCAATATCTAATCTCAGAGTAATCACTAACCGCACGAAGCGCTACGCAGATCTTAGATCTATCATTGAATAATCACGAAGATTTACAGGAAGATTTAAATTAGTCAGTGAGATTAGCAGGACTCTGCAGAATCCCCCCACATATCATAGAGTAATAGTGCCCAAATGCACTAACTCGGAAATGACTTAACATAACATAACTAATATTTATATATGTAAATTATAAGACATTGTTTTTTAAATTAATTTAAATATTTCATTTTTTAATTTTTGAAAAATAATTACCCATTCAAAAAGTCTATTTATTCTGCATATATTATAATTTTATATATTTGTATTATGTTCAAAATGTTTATGCTACTTATTGTGCTTATCGATAAGTAATTTTATAATTATTTTCATTGTGTTAAACATTAAAATTAAACAAATTCAAAAACACAATTAGGAAAAGGGTCACGTATAGTAAAAACTGTCAACGACCACGTTAAGAAGCTTCAACTAATTTTATAGGCCTAAGTCGGCAAGACTAAGGCCGCTGAAGATACAATAAATGTGAAAAAAATTAAAAATGGAAATTATTCTACAATTTGTAGCTTCTTGCAAGTATAAAAGCCTTCACGTGAAATATGTTTGGCAGCAGACGTTTCGAGGCACTGATTTAAAGAACAATACCCAACAATCAAGCTACAAAATTAAAAATGTTCAAAAAAACATTTCTAATAATATTGGCCGTAGCAATTTGTGCAGCTGAACCACCACGTTTCCGCACAGTTCAACGTTTCCGCAATGGACGATTTTTAGCGCGACAAGTAGCAGTTCCAAGTCCTGCACCAACTGGTTATCCTGAAGCGGGTGTAACGCCTGAAGTACCATTTGATTTACCAACATCTACCGTTAAGCCAGACTCCACGTACTTGCCACCAGATAATACATATGGCCCACCACAACAACCTGATGAAGTATATGGACCACCTGAAGCAGATATAAATCAACCAGATAATACATATGGACCACCAGATGTTACAGCTATAGAAGAAGAAGAGGATGTACCTTCAATTGAAGAAGCTCCACAACCCGAAATTAAAGATAAACAACCAGAAAATCCAGTACCGGCAAATGAGGACGATGTGCTCGTTGCTGTTGCAGAAGATGGTACTGTAATTGCGGTCTCCACTTCTTTTGATCAGGATAAAGTAGATACAGTTGAACAACAATCTGCTCGCTTACGTCAATTTTATCAACGGTTCCCACAGTCACGTCGTGCACCTGCACCTGTACCAGCACGATTAATACGTGCACGTAAAATAGCTGTGCCAGCAAAATTGCAAGTTCAACAACCTCAGACTTTTACCTACACTGCTAAATTTCAGGAATGGTAATAATTAATTTAATTTTAAGAAGCTTAATTTTAAGTAGATAGTGTCTCAAACATATAAAATTTTAATAGAAGAAATTGACAAAGATTTGAAAGCAAGTTTTTTTGTACATTGTATATAAAGAAAATATGTCGGACATATATAGATGCCATAAAAATTCTATAATTATATGCATTTGAATAAAAAAGTTTCATAATTAATATAAACATATGTTATTTTGAATATTAAAGTTATTTTAAAATATTATTAATGAATAGGAATAGCAACAGGAACTATCTATTGGTATCCAGGTAAAAAATACCTACCTTCACTTTCTGCTAAGGAAAAAATAGATTTTTTTTTATTTTGATAGTAGTAACCATTTTAATGATAATCCCGTCATTCAAACACTGATACGATACCGGTAATTGATTCATCAAGTTTATATGATGTTTGTTAATCGAAGAAAATGCATAAATAAGCTGTCCCCATAGTCATCTTACAAAAAACAGTATCGATTGATCCCACAAATCAAATATCGTAATCAAGGTTGAAGCCGTTTTAAACAATAATTCATAAGGCATTCAGATAAACTTGAATCTGTCACTATAACTATATATAGTACGCCATAGCGAAAACGACAAAGTTTATTTTACCAGTTGGCAACGTTATACGTACAGGTCTTTGTGCTATAGATTCCTTGTTTATCGATGAACAGCAAATTTAGACATTATTTACAAACTTGTTACAATTGGTGTATAAAGAAATACCTGAAAAGTGAACAAGGGTGTATTAATTAAAAACTCTACCAATTGCTTCATCATACTTACCACTTTTGAGTTCTTCCGATTATTATTTCCTCTCATTCACAAGAAAAGTTTTCTATTATCCCTTTACGTGAACACCTTTTTATATATAGATTAAAAATTGTCATTCTTAAAAGATCTGCTTTTTAACTTTTATAATACACTTTGGAACTCGCAAGGAATTAAGTATGTCTCTTGGTCAAGAGTAAGTAATTAGTCTAGTAAATGTGAATGTGACCTTAAGCGAATCATAACCCATGTTCTGGAATTATTGTATTGATCTATGGTATTGAAAACAAGCTTATATTTATATGTTAATATGTGTTATTATTGTATTGAATATTATTAAATATTACTACTCGACAGCTTCGAATGATATTAAAAATAATATTAAAAACAAAAAAATCGAAAATAAAGTTGAATAAGAAAGAATTTAAAAAATAAATATAAAAAAATAGAAAAAAAAATTAGAATAACTAAAATTAAATAAAATATAATATAATAAGTAAAACTATATAAGGCAGCTGACAAGGCAATGCGTTGAACGTACACTAATTGGGTGCTCTTGCAATACCGTTTGGATGTTAATTTTTTTGTATCGAATTTTATTCAGTTTTTGTTTGGTGGATATGATCATATATTGCACCTTTTTAACACCAAATACATGATACACTACATTTGCTAGCCTCACAATTGATTCTCATGGTATAAACCGCAAGTTGAGAATTTTAGTAGGAATGCTTTATCCTTATTATAGTTAGTTTTAAAGACAATCTCTAAAATGTCAATAAAGATCATTTCTACAGGTGGTATCTGGAGCAATGAAAATCCATAAGTAACTGTCGAAATACCATTTCATCCGCGCATCCACAAAAAAATTATTCTATGATGTTGTTTACAGCAATTCACAATTCTGGATGTGGAGATATGGTTTTAACGATTTGTGATTCGACAAATATGTGTCACGTTGTAAATAAGTGATTTGACGACCTAGATCATGTGATTTGTCAATACTGGATTTTTTGTCGAGATACACAAGCGATGGTACTTATGCGGACAATCATTACACTCCCAATTCTTTGAAAATAGATCAAACTTTTGTCAGCTATATGTCCACAAGTCATCAACAATTTTCTCCAAAGCATCTATTAATATAAGACATCCAGTGAATAACGTTTGAATGATATTGTATATAACTTCTAATGGCAAGGTCCAAGGGGTGTCTAAAAATAAAACTTTTATTAAAATATTAAGTACAATTAATTTTAAACAACTATTGCAGAAGTACTTATAAAAGGAGAGGAGTTTATTATAAAAAATATTATGCTTTGCCAATTAATAAGTAAACTATTTTTGTTCTTATTTTATATCTTCTCTGTTGAAAAGGTAGTGTCTAAAGCACTTTTGCTCCATAATGCCTTTGATCATTTGGATGATCCAGTGTAATATGTTTTCCGATAAAATAAAATATTGAATCATTTAGATCAGTTTATAAAACTGTATTTTAAAATCCATCATATTTTTATAAAGGAATTATTATTACTAATAGCTGTCGAACTGTCGAAAGGCCATTTCACCCGCGGAACCACAAAAAATCACTTTATGATGTGGTTTACGACAATCAACAATTCTGGATGTGGGAGAGATATGGTAATACGTGTACTATTAAGGTCTAGTACTTAAGGAGTAGTTAACAAACAACAAAATCCGGATACTTTTTGAGCAGAAGGTATAGTGTAATACGTGTTCCATTAAAATAAAATATTGAATCCTTTAGATGAGTTTATAAAACTGTATTTTGAAATCCACCATATATTTTTAAATAAATTATTATTACTAATAACTGTCGAAAGGTCATTTCATCCGCGCTGCCACAAAAAATCACTTTATGATGTGGTTTACAGCAATTAACAATTCTGGATGTGGGAGAGATATGGGAATACGTGTATAGTGTAATACGTGTTCCATTAAAATAAAATATTGAATACTTTAGATGAGTTTTGAATTCAACCATATCTTTCTAAAGCAATTTCTATTACTAATGCAAGGTCCAAACAATATCTAAAAATAAAAATTTTATAAAAATTTTAATTATAAGTTTTTTTTAGTTACGAAATATAAAGTAGAATGCATAAAATTAAACAAAATAAAATGAGACAAAAATCAGAATGAAATAAATGGTATGAATGAAATAAAATCAATATGAAATTTACATAAAAAACTTTTACATCTACAAGTTTATTGTTTTAATGAGTCATTATAGGATTTGGCTAACATATTTGCCTGCTGCCATGGAATGAACATTACCGCAAATAATAATCATAATAAAAGAGAAAAGTACTAAAAGTTCTTTTATTAACACGAAAACTTTATGCCGGCATAAAAAAAATTATACCTTTTTTCCGTTTTGTTGGTTCTTCATCAAAAATTAATGCGGAACACATATTTCACGAAACAATTTGCAAAATCTGCGTCACATTTATATCGAAATAATTAGATTTCACGGAAGTTAATGTTTTTGCATAGCTGAGGAACGTACGCTGGGCTCATCATACTCATCATAGGAAAAGCCAAATAATGAAGCGGATTCACAAATACGAACTGACACAGCAGCAGCAGCAGCAGTAGTAGTAGTAGCAGCCGGCGTGAGTTGGACGCAGTTGGAATGTACGCTTTACAAGAGTCCGAGTTCGAGTCCGAAGATTAAACCAAAAATAATTATTGCCAAATACAGATATTAAGAAGAAAGATATAAAAACCACAAGGACTAAGGAAGTGAAAAGCACAAAGAAGCCTCACGTATTGAAGTGTGTAATACCACATTGAATACGTGACGGACTACGCAGCTGCTGCTTCAATGGAAAACCTAAATTTTCACATAAGAAATGGTCAAGTTGCTATTCAATTAAAAAGATATAAAAGATACAATAATATAATTTTACGAAATGGTAAAGTTTTTAAGAAATCTGTGCTAAAATTTTTATAAATATGTACTTTAATGCTACAAGGACGCAGAATAATTACAGATGACCTTTCTTAAACCATAGACCACTAGAAGTTTAGCAACAGTAATGCAAAAGACAATAGGACATCTATGAACTCCCCTATTAAAAAATTATATATATATTTATGTAATTAATTAGAGATATATATCGTCTTATCAACATTTAAAATTTAAGTACATAACATGTAAAAAGAAATCTTGAGAACCATACTGAGAAAACCTTTCTTCAATGAATATTAGGTAATTAATTACCCAAAGTATTTAAAACTATCTATATTCCCTCAGTTCCCCAATTGCTTTATATAAGTTAAACATAATTTTTATTAGAAATCATTCGATAATTCGCTCAGTGCAAGCGGTACTCTAATATTACTTTTTTAGATAAATGTATTAAACTTTTTGTGTGTTACATCCCACTTAAGGCTTTCAAAATTTGTAATAGTTTCGTTTTCTGCATAGTTATGCAAAAAGTCACACATGTTGTTGTGAAATAAGGACCAATCTTAAAATGTGCTCAATTTTATAGACACATTTCTATAGAAGACAGTTGTCTTGCTCTTCATGACTTTAGACTATTTAATGGAAGATTTCGAAAATCATTATGAGAGATTTTAAACAATCTTTTAGGGATGATACAGATATTTAGACAATGATTATGGTCCATTGTACTATAAGCTTCATTGTTATAACTTACAAAAATTATCGGTTATTTTTTAGGAAGCGGAAGAGAAGAGATAATGAGCTGAAATTTAACTTACTTACAACGTGAGCAGCCATCGCACTAATATATAGTAGTATGCAGTTTTTGTGATATAGTCACAAGAAAACCTAATGTATTTTCGTTATTTTTAAGTTAAGACAACCAATTTGATATGCTACGGTCATCGAGATTTCGCCATTTATTGTTTATTTGAGATTGAATCCAACCATTAATATTCGTTTTGGAACAGATTTAGACTGTTAGGTAACGTGAAATAGTATAAATAAAGTTTTTCATAAATAAAGTTTAGTTTATATTCTAAAGTCGAGTAGTACTTATAATTATAATACATAATTATATTATATTATGTAAATTATACAATGTATAATATAGAATGCATTTACATATTATAAATCATAATACATAAATTTATATTATAACATAGACAAATCTTGAAAAAGTTGACAATGTTTAGCCATACACTTATCCTTTTTATATGGAGATATGTGGTTCATTTTACTCATGAATTTGTACTGAGGTCGCCATAACATATAACATCGGACTACACTTAAACTGGTCTGTGTAGAACAGTTAGCGGACAGTGAGGAGCTATAATATGTATATATGTATTATTGATTGAACGAACATATTAAACACGATTTTATCTAATGCAAGGAATAATTTTCAATTGTCCGGAATTGGAAAAATAGTTATGTTCCATTGTAACAATCCCAAGCCACAAATATTTATGATAAGTCGAAACAAATTAAAAGAACTTGTTTAAGAGGCTCATATCTTGCACAATCTTCTATTTATTTCGATCCTACTAAAGTTCTTTTAACATAATAGTAAAAAATTGAATGACCTAAGAGTCGCTGAAAATTACCTAACCAAATTTTGCGCCTATTAACCACAGAAGTTCTACACTGATGAAATTATGAAGCTATCCGAAAAATGGCAAGAAATCACAAATAATAATAACCAATATGTAACTCATTTAAATTGATGTTCAATTAACAAAATGTTTGTTCAAAAATGTACCAAAAAAATGCGGAGACTTTTTATACAGCCTATTATGTATATATTTTTAGATTTTAATCATTTCATTCACATTAAAGAGAACTGTTTGCACTCTAACTAGTCTGTGTAGATCAGTTAATGAACAGTGAATAGCTTAACTAACGACGATCTTACTAAATTCTAACTGGTTTACACGGATTAGTTAGAGTACAATCAGTTATTAAATAGAAATTTTAGATAAATCATTCTATATAAACAATATACCCATAATATAATATATTTAATAATAATAAATATATAATATAAATTAAATAACACCTTCAAAAGATAAATGTAAAAGTTTACATTATATACATTAGCTTAATTTATACTTTCAGTTTAATTACTTGGTAAACTATCCTAAAAAATTATAAATTAATAAGAAAAAAGATATGAACGGATAAGACAATAGTATAAACGTTTCATCCATTAATAGAAATGAAATTCTTTTATACATTAAAGTAATCCTATTTGCACTGGTCTTAAACTTGTCTCTTTGGGACAATTGTCCCAAATTTTTTTAATACAATTAAAAAAACTATTCTAAAAAAAATTATTCTATGCTTGAATTGAAAAATTAAACAATTTTTAATATTATTTTCTTTTTTGCATTAGTGCATAATAAAACTACCTAAACTATTAGTATTTAACGTAGAAATTTATATTAATTAACTACAATATTTTTCTTTGTAATATACCATATATAGAGGGTATATATTACGTATACTATAATTACGTATACCAATGCAGTTTTTAATAATTATCTTAATAGCTAAGTTATTTTATTTTTAATTTTAAATTTTTTGAATTTGCAATCAAGAAAGGCAATAAGATACATTCCACTTAATGAACTTAGAAATTTAGTTTGGTGTCTGATAAGCTAAAAAAAAACAACTTTTAAACATTCTTTATTTAATTTCAAAATAAAAAGAATTCAGTGTTAAAATTATTTTACAATATTCTTGGGTTTTTTAATTATAATTTTACATATTCACTTAAATTTTTTGTTTTATTATTACCACATTTATTTCGAATTATAATAAATCATCATTAGTTATACTTTTTTTTAAGCTATATTTATTACTTTTATTCCCGCTGTTAAAATAATAATAATATAAATTTAGTAGATATTAGAAGAAGAATTCTTAAATGCAAAGATATATTCACTGTGGTATTTTAAACTTCTAAAGTTTAACAATTTATTGTTCAGGGCTGATTTCATGATCATATCTTATCTCTTAAGACTGACTTAAGTCTGAATTAGAAAAACAAAGTTAATAATTTAAGCAATACTTAAGACCACATTGAGACTTAAAATATGATTGTGGACTCGACCATCTGAATTTGGTCCAATAAACTTTCAGCCTTGTAAAGATTTTTCAGAATGACCTTAAATTCCAAGCAAACGCTTTGTGATAGGAATATATTCGTTTGTAATCGAAAACTTTTCTTGGAGCTTTTTTTACTACGTATTTTCCTAGAAGAAACTCGAGGTCCCAGTGAAAATAGCTACATTACAATATTTGGAATATTGGCCATTGATCATTACCAAGAAGAGTTGAACATTTCTTCTAAAGCCTTAGAGTATGTTCTTTGAAGTAATTTAATGTTGCCCCCTATTACTGAATGTCATAGAACCGCTATTAATTAAGTACAATTTATTCAAAAGTAGCTCATTTACCAAGAACAAAGAGTTTTCCATTCTACAAAACTGAATTTCTTAGGGTTTTTTTTATAAGAGTTGGGAATTTTCCATGCCACTTCTATCCAAATGCATACATGGGTATATTGTAGCGTTTGTGGATAATATAATTCATCAAATTCTTTCTATAATAGAAAGATTGTCAAATTTTTTGATAAATTTTTACACAAACTTTAGGCCTTATATTCGAACTATTTTACTTATAAAGACAGATTTATTAATAAAAGAATATATAATGAACTAAGTAGCCAATACCAAAGACTTGAGTTTTTCCTTCAGGTATGTGGTAACAAAACAATGCCTACGCATTACTCGGAAAGAAGGAAAAAACAGTTGAAGCAAAAGAAAACCTTATTAAGTTTTTCTGATTTGCACCAAAATAAATTGAAATAATTTATTACTATGGGGTCGTACAGATATTAACGAAGTCAAAGGCTTTATTTCAGCAAATTAAGCTGCTACTATGACATAAAAAATTTCATAAAATAACCTAATATTGAAGATTCAAAAGATTATTCCCTTAATGAAAACAACAAATTAAAACATGTGTGCCATATTATAGATATATTAGTATATATTATATATGTATATATTTTTTGTCACAGCAGAAATAGCAATGAGTTTCACCTTGTTCAACAGATACTGTAATGGACAGCTACCTTCAAAGGATGGTAACAAAAGATGATGCAAGTTGAAAGGAAACATATTCCATAAAAATATTTAATAATGATTGCAAAATAATAATGCATAATAATATAAATTTAAAAAAAATATAATATTAACCAAAAGAAAATAAATATTAAATAAATAAAAACAAAATATTTTACAAGAAAAAAAAAATAAATAAATAAATTATTGCCTCTACAAACAAAATAGTATTGAAATTTGACAATTGTAAGGCCCAAATTTTATTCTAAAAATTTAACCCCACAAATTAAATGAACAGTATAATGAGTTTTTTTTTATAATGAGTTTTAAATCCACTTAATAAAACATATTTCTATATTCAATAAAATTTTTCTGCGGTAACACCTATTTTTGACCCTTTAAATTACATATCAAAGACAAACATTTTTTATAAACGAATGACCCTGTAAAGTAAAATATGTTTTTATTAATTTTTTGCCGCTAATAAAAGTTAGTTAAATTTGTTGTAACTATTTCACTTGTTTGTCTGCATAAACAAATTTAAGAAAAATATTGTGCACGCATTTTTTATGTGATGCAGTTATTTTTGTTGAATTTGATTGCAATGCGTACAACAATAAGAAATTTGTTTTGACAAATTTACGGGACTTTGTTTATTTGAAAATAATTATTGTTTTTGTATGTAATGGAAGGAATTTCAAATAAAAGGGCAGCGAAATTGCCAAATCGTTATATTTGGAATTTCTTTCACTACAGGTAAGAACTATTTTGTTAGGGACGATAGTGGGAGCTCGGACTAGTTGGTCCAGGCACATGTTGATTCGTTTGGCCATTGCTGACGATCACCGTGTGAATGGATGGACTGGTTTGGGCGAAGTGATGGTGGTTGAATTACCTTCTGCTTGGCTTATGCTGGCGTAGGGTAGTTTAACCAGTTGAGTTACCTGCTGCTTGGCTTATGCTGGCGTAGGGTAATTTAACTAGTCATCCAGACTTCCATTTGGCCATAGCTGATGGAGGAATGGGCGACGAGTCACCAACGCTGTCAGAAGGCGTGTGGACAACGAGCGTTTGGCAATTGCTGACGGACGTGGCCAGGCGTAATAGCAGGAAGGGACCCTTGTCTGGTTTTTACTGACAAAGGTATTGATTTATATTTTTTTTTGGAATTTCTTTCACTACAGATTTCACGATTCTAATGACAGCAACTTGCGCACCACTGACATCAACATCATACAACATTCTATACCGTTTACAACATCGCTACAACAGTGTTACAACATTAACAACATCCACATCATTGACAACATTTTCAACATCGCTGTCTATTACTTTCCACAACTTAATTTATATTTTTTTTGGTTAATTAATAAACGCTACTTTAATCAGAAGTGTCTCTATTATTTCACATTTATAAATTTCTTATAACGAACCCTGGTATACTCGCTGAGTATACCCCAGCTATAGATAGGGCCGGGAAAAAGGTCGTTACACAATTGAAAATAAAAATATATTTAATTAATTCAATTATTCTACAGCTGGTTTATGATTTCGTTCTAATATAATCACAGCAAGTTAATTTGTTAATAAAACCTTCACAGCAAATTAACAAAAACTCAATTAACAAAAAAAGCGCGAACATAAAAATCAAGTACGGTTTTGAATCAGTTGGTTAAGGAGCGCTAACTCTGAGCTTCAAATTTGGCAGAACACGAGTTCGATTCCTGGTACTTTCAGTCTCAAAAAAATTATTTATGAATAATTAAATACAAGAATTATTTCCAAGATCACTGATGATTGGTGTTTAGAAATTCTCGAAACAGCTGTATGGTCAGCCATAAATTCAATTAATTAAAATAATATAAAATGAATTTTTGTTGTTGTAGTGCAACATTTCGAAAAAACTTCAAAAAAATAAAAAATTTAAAAAATAAAAAATATTATAAGCAAAAAAAATAAAAATCTTTTTTTTTGTTTCAAGTTTTTAATCAAAATAAGAATCATAAAAAATTGTTGACCATACAAACAAAATTGTATCGTAAACCAATTTTCAATAAATTAACTAAAATTTTTGTTGTTGTGTTTTCATTTCTATTCGAATCGTTCTAACTTTTTGTCATAACACGCGTCATTTTCAGTAAGAAAAAATTAACATTAAAATAAATGTAATTTGCAAACATTTTATTAACGAATTATAGGAATGTTGAAATAATATATTCATTTGACATACAACAATAATTTTAATTTTTTTTTTATTTTTTTCATCTTTAGTTAACATCCTCTTTTGAGCTCATATCTCCTTGATTAACAACGCCAATATCATTATGATTAAAGTTACTCACTGATCCTGATATAGATTGTGACTTATTATTTTGGTGTTCTGATTGACTTGACGAATTTGAACTGAAATATTGTTGAAGAATAGTAATCATTTGTTGAGTAAGTGCTTTCATAGGATCGGTTGTTGAGGATGTGTCCTGTGAATTTGGAGTGGTAGTAGTAGGTGTAGTCATTGTTGTAGTAGTGGTAGTAGCAATCGTAGTCGTGTCAACATTCCATCTTTGAGGAACAGCAATTGACATTTTCCCACACAAAGTGTACAATAATAAACTGAGTAAACTTATTTTGAACATTTTACTAAGACTAAAATTTTTCTACAGGTCCATTCTTTATATACCATTTAACTCAAATAATTTCTAAAGATAATATAGTATTTTTAATTATAAACAAACAATTTTTTAAACGTTTACAGATAAATTATCAGCAAACTTTTGATTTATTTATTTTCAAAAGTAGTAAGTCATAAATTATGAAAATATAATAAATTGAATTCTTCAAAATAACTTTATAAAAATTATGATAATATATACATATTTCATATTAAATTTCCTTAAAAGAAACTATGGTATTTTTAATAGAGAGGTTTTCGTGCAGTAGTGAATTGCAACAACAAAATTGACAATATTTGGCAATACGAGAGTTGTAAAATGACCATTATCAGCAGCATTTTTTGATGTATTATATTATATTACCAAGGTTTGAACTTGTACCCTGCCATATTTCAAACTCAGAGTCAGTGCTAATTACACAACTAACCCAAAGCCGTACCTGAGTTGTGTGTTCTAAATTGGAATTTTGTTATTCCGTTGTAAAAGTCCATTAACAAGTTTACTTACTGTATTTTATTAAAACGGAATTATAAATCAGCTATAGAATAATTGAATTAATTAATTACAGTTATTTTTAATTGTAAGATTTCAGTACTGTTCTTTTTTGTTGAATTATTAAAATATATTTGACTTTATTTGCAATTTCTTTTTGCAACAAATATATACATTTTTATTTTTATTATATATTTACATTTACTTATAATACCCTATTTTAATTAAAGATAATATTTACATTTTAGTTAGGTACGAATGGAATAATGATATATATCACTTTTAGATTCGTTTTAGACTTGTTTTAGATTCGTGTCTTTTCAATAATCCTACATTAGAGCCCATATGTGACAGAACGTATGACGGGACTTAGTTCTACATAAGTTTGGAAAACAAAAGATTATTTTTAATCTCCACTAAGAACTAGTATATTTTTGTTTTAAATATTTTTAAAATAAAAAAATTCTAAATCCTATCGACATACTTAACTAGATATATTAATCATCTAGCATTATATTAAATTTTTTTCAAAGCATCATTAGAAATATTTCCCTGGGAAAGAAAAATACGGTTTAATAAAATCATCGTTTTGTGACGGTCTTCTGTGCATCAGTTCTAAACTGTTTTCACGAGAGTCTGGTGCCACAGATAGTACTCTAACTGAATAAGGCAAGGATGAGACAATATAAGAGCGGTAACACATAACACCTTTCTATTCATTTAACATGTATTCTATATGTTTTTAATGTTTTTTTAAGTTTCCCAATTTACCTTAATTAGGAGGGACTTGCAAATGGGCTACTTTTAATCTCCATTTTCAACACTATTATTTAAAATTTTTACGCCCACGCTTAAGCTCTATTTCCACTTACATCTTTAGACACTTGGTTCTCTCTTTTTATGTTTTAAATATTATTAACTCTTCTTTAAAGATTTCGACTAATCCCGAGCTAAAAAAGTTTACTAATGTGTAAAGCGTAGTGCTGATATAAAACTATATATATAAAAAAACTTATTCAACAGTGTCCATTTTTTATGTAGAGTTTCATGTGTATTTTTGTACGAAATGGGTGTTAGTACCAAGCTTTAGATTACTCCAATAGAAAAGAATAGTCTGCATGATCACGACATTTAAGCTATCCTTAAATAATTTCGACTCGAAAAATTTCTTTGAAAAAGGCTTAAAAATTATGACAGAAGTATCCAGAATTTGCTATATCTCTATGCTTAAAAATATTATATCGACTAATTTCGGTCAAAATCACTTTTTTATACTAAAAATATCTATGTATAGATGAATAGATAGATATAGATGCATAGATAAATAATAAATTATCTCTGTTCAAGCGTAGTTTAAAATGAAAACTCTTTGGATTTAGTATTACTCCTTGACTATACCAAATTTGTGCGTTTTTATCGAAAAAAACACAAATTTTCTTGCTCTCAAATAAAATTCCGATTGCAGGAATATCTTTTACAAAAAAAATAATATGGAACTACTATATTTTCTTAGCCCATTCAATCACAAAAAATAAATCGTGTCCAAATGGTAAATATTTGATGTAATAAAACTTGGTATATGACGTCAGCCTTTTAAATGATAATAAAAAAAGAAATTTGGGTTTATAGAAAAATTTTTGTTTCTTAACATAACCTCACTCAAGTTCAATACTCTATTATTTATGAACGCCATAATTTCTTTCTGTTGCATTACAAAGAATTACAAACACAGTACTTTAGGGAACACACACTTAATATGCAGATAACTTCTTAAAATCCAGTATATTGCTCTTTGTGTGTGATAAAATACTTACACAGTCTTCACTTAGTCTCTCTCTCTGTGTCTGCAGAGACACTCCAGAGATGTTCGGAAATATTGTTCTGGACATTCTGAATAGTCGTCCAGACTTATACGACGTATTTTAAACGAACCAGCTCACTACCAAATCATTGTTTCGGGGTAGATGCAGATTAATCTAACACAATTACCATTCCGGTATGAATTTCCATTGCCTCTAATGCTTACCAATTTTCAATATTAAAAATACGAGTACACTAACACATTGTCTTAATAAAAATAGTTTATTTTAGAAATCAAGAATTAAAAAATATGGAAGCATAATTCTGAAAATACATTATATGTACCATATATCTATGTATATAATTGTATATACAAATAAATCATTTTGAGTGACTTTTATTTCAACACAGTTGATATCGCGGTGGTAGCCTTATTAGATTTATGCAAAAGGGGTTCTTCAGGTCTAGCGTGCGGTCAGTGTCTCATCCGTGATATCACGGACAAGTTTTACTTCACTTTTCACATATTTATTTTTGTTTTCATATTATTTATATAGATAGTTTTATACATACTATATTTATAAATCGTTTCATAATTTTGTTACATTCTGTTATATTTTATAAGATGTAGGAGTATGTCGTCCGCAATCGTATTCTGTCCTTCTTCTTCACAACCTTCTTCTTTTTTTAAACTTTTTTTTTAGTTTATAACACTAATTTGATTATTACTGAAGTTACTATTTGACCCATCAAAAATTTCTTCCCTAGTCTTTGATTCCTTAGTTTGTTTCACAGAGGTGATGTTTTGAAATTCCTGAATTAATGCAGTCTTCTCAGTACGCCAAGCGCTTGAGTTGGCAGATGTTGTAGACTCATGAGCTATAGTTTTTGCTCTTGCTACCTTTCCTCCAGTAACAGTACTATTTCCACATAAAATTAATAATATTACACTTAAAAAAATTATTTTAAACATTTTATTAAAGCGAAAGAAGAAATTCAATTGGTTAAATTTTGTAAAACCTTACGTTTTTATATAATTTTGCTAAGACTAATGCAGAAGATAGCAAAGTTATTTTTCATTATCTTTATCTTTAACAATTAGTTTAAATTAACATTTCATTTGTTATTTTCTTTAAGTAATTATTTGGAATTATTTATATTTTTTTAGTTTATATTAATTTTTATGTTTTAAGATTGCACATGTCAGTCTTAATCAATATAAATAAATCATGAAAAGTTTTTACGTGGACGTAAAAAATACTATTTTTTAGTTTTATTTTAATTTCTGTTTAGAGTACAATTTAATAACAATCAATTTATTTTAATATATCCAACGGCACACAACCCTATACTATCAGAAGATTGTTGAAACTGAATGTACTGTTTATGTAGAGTTTGCTTATTGTAGTAACTTTATTTTCCAGTGCACGATCATGTAGCTATGCTAACTTGAATCGGAATTTGATTAATGGATTATGACCCTCTCTCTATCCTAATCCAAATTTCTCTTTCCATAATCGGCATCAACATGACAGTACTGCAGGAAGGTACCAGGTTTACTTCTAAAAAGCCCTGGAAACAACTCTTCCAACCAGTGGCGTAACTACATTTTTTGGGCCCATAAGCAAATTCTAACTAAGGAGCTCCTACTAACATCTTTTTATACCCTTTACACGAAAAAATGTAAAAAGAGTATATTAAGCTTGTCAAGATTTTCATAACGAATTAAAGAAAAGGTCGAAAATACCATAAGGTATATATCAGTTTATGTATATATATAATTATTCAGTTCAAACTACTCTCTTAGCTTTCAACTCTTCGAATGAAACTTTACACACATTCTTTTCGGGAGTGGACGCTGTTCACCATCTGATTTGATTGGAATTAGCCTACTAATTCTTATAGATGTATGTATTTTTATTTTTTCTGACAAATTTTTCCCATCCCGAAATCAAAAACACCATTGATTTGTTTGATTAGAAAATAACCAGCACGGCTTACAATATACTGAATCCAATAATTTTGAATAGCATAACCAAAGTCGTGGCACTATTCCATATTTTGTTTTTAAATTATAGTATGAAGTATTGAAACTTGTATTTTCTTGAATAGGATCCTTCGGAAATGGCTCTTGTAATCTCTCGTGATCGGAAGAATTAGTCTGTTTAGTATTTCTTCTATCGTGGTCGGAAGAATTAGTCTGTTCAGTATTTCTTCTCTCGTGATCAGAAGAATTAGTCTATTCAGAAGTCTGTTTCAGTATTTGAACAATATATCAATTTATTCTCTGTATCACAATTAGCAAAGACATCATTTAAATCGTTCACTTCTTCACTTTTGTTGTCATTTATTTTTAGAAAATTGTCTAGTATTGGTCATTTCTTTAATGTTTCTTCTCGTTCGTTTTGCTCTTTTCTTTTCTTGGCTCCACTTAAATATCAACACAAAGAAATTTTAAAGATTTTCTTGAAATTACAAATGCAACCTTGTTCGAAAACCAAAATTTAAGTTATTCCAACATAAAACGTTTCGTTCCACTTTTGAGAATTTATTAAAAATAAATATAATGAATATATAAATTTATAATGAGGCCCCCTAAATTCGGGGGCCCGAAAGCGTTGCTTTCAGTCGCTTCCCTGTAGTTACTCCACTGCTTCCACCATAAATACTTACTGTAC